GTCTCACCTACACTAAAGCTGGCCTTATTTATGGGTGTCCCTAAGCAGCTATTTCATATCATAAAATCCCCAGAGCTTGCCACTGGGAGGCCAGCAGGCAAGCCTGGCACCATTTGATGCCCTGGCTGCCCAAAGCTGAGGACTCAGCCCCTGCCTTGCGGCGGGGAATGTGGCCGAGTCCCCAGCGTGGTTCCGTCTGGCAGGGGCACCCCCCACAAGTTCCACCTTGAGGAGGGGTTAAGCCCGCCCCCCCCAACTGGAACCCACCCGACCTGTCCTGCCGCTGGCTTTTGGCTGGCGATAGGGCGGAGCTAGGATTTTACCCCAGTTCCCAGGCATCCCTCATGGCTACTCACCCATGAGGGGTTTTTGTTGCTCCTGGGCCAGAAGGAACCAAGGACTCTTCTCTTTGATTCTTAAAATTTACTTACAGAGAATGTTATGCCAATATTATATATTTTAAATATGGTTTTAGATCTACTACTGCATATAATGACAATACTATCCTAGAATCTTCCTAATACACACATATATATACCTTTAAATAAGAGTACCTCAAGAATTTCAAGGGAAAATAGAGCTAAAATATATAATTGTTCTGGTTAAATAAGTTTTGAAATACTTGCAGTATTTGCCACTAAGTTTTTGAATATTACACATTTATGAAAGAACGGATCAGTTTGGTGGGAAATTAACCCAATTTGAACGTACTGGGGGAAAAAAATGCAGAATAGTTTGATGGTGTGCATTTGGTCAACATCCAGAGGCAAAAGAATCTTAGTGGGTATACCTGGGGTATTTCAAATCACAAGAACTTCATGTTATGTTTAGATCAGTGTATCAGGATGACTTTAGTTGTGGTCATTAAGCTTGAAATTCAATAAATTCCTGATTCTGATTCAATACCTGTCCAGAAAGCTAGTAACATTTGAATGTGAAACTCTACCTACAAAGAGAAAAATATAAATGTTAATTTGGACAGATCATAAACCTCTTAGTTGGAGACATGTTTAGAACCCTAACACTGGGGGAGCAGCCTGTATTTGGCTGAAAATTCCTGTGACTTGTGCATGGAAACAGGTGCACATTCACAGTCCTTGAGTGCTTCTGGTTGTGCAGAGACTCCAGACCTGGGCATCTGAAACGGATGGCCAGGAACCTGACAGTGAACTCCTTGCAACTGCTCAGTCTCACTCAGGAAATGTTCCTTTGATGTGCTGTACAGCCTATGCTTGAGTAACCGCTCGTTGCAGTCAGATGTGCACCAGCTGAGTTCTCCCTGTGAAAGACGTCCTCCATGTATAAAGGAGAGAGCTGCAGAGGTAAGAGTCCAGTTCTGATACATGTTACCACGTGTCAGCAAGAGATGCATCAATTTTTAATTTTAAAATTCAAGCTTTCAAAAGTTTTCACACTTCGCAAATTCTACTTATCTTTCCAAAAATTATTTATTTACTTCAGGACAAAATGACAGAAAGATCTACTGATTCATTCTCCAAAGGGTTCTAATCACTGGAGCTTGTCCAGATGTAATCCAGGAGCCTGGAACTTCAGCTAGGTTTGCCATGTGCAAGGTAGGGATCCTGAGAATTGGATTATCATCTGCTGCATTCCCAGGCACGTTGGCAGGAGACAGGACTTAAAGTAGAGCAGCTAGGACTAGAACAGGCACTCTGACATGGGATACTAGTATTGTAAGCAGTAGTTTAAAACACTGTGCCACAACTCTGGCACCCCAATTATTTTTGCTCTAAATCTCTATTATTATTGTTAGTAGAAGGAATGACTGCAGGGGGTTCTATTTGTCATTAACACAGGTGACTTGGCTGAGTGGATCTGGTTCAATTCCACGTAAAGCAGCTGTTGGCTTATTGCTACACTTACAGTCCCTCTATGAACATGCTTCCTTCCCATATGAGCATCACTTCAAGTCCCAGATATTCTGCTTCCAGTCCAGTTCTCTGATAATGTGCCTTGGTAGGCAGCAGAGGATGGTCCAAGTATTTTAGTTCCTGCTACGTACAGGGGAGCAAGGGAGCGCTTCTGCCTCTTGACTTAGACCCATCCTAACTCCAGCCATTGCAGCCATTAAGGAAGTAGAATGGCTAATGAAAGATACACTCCCTCTCATGTTTCTCCCTCTGTGCAACTCTCCCTTTCAAATAAATGAATGAAACAAACAAACAAAAAAAGCTTGCTTTCTCTTTGGACATTTGGATGACTTCTTTAAAAAGCTTTTATCTATTTTTATTTGTATCTTGTCGGAGTTTACTCTCTCCAGGGAATAGTGGTGGTGTGTTCAATGCAGATACAATTGATTAAAGTGCTCTCACACATGCCTGTCTGAAAGAGAACCTGGGGCTGCAGGCTGTTTCTGCCTGAACCATATCTGGGAATTGATTTGGTGGTTAAGCAAAGCCAAGGAAAAAAGGAAAAGGAAAAGTACATACACAATTTTTGATGTCTATCTCTACTTGCGCCATAAAAAAAAAAAAATAGATACATTAGAAATAGTTGACAGGGCCCAGCGCGGTGGCACAAGTGGTTAAGGTCCTCTCCTTGCACACCCGGGATCCCATATGGGCGCCGGTTCTATCCCAGCAGCCCCGCTTCCCTTCCAGCTCCCTGCCTGTGGCCCGGGAAAGCAGTTGAGGACGGCCTAAAGCTTTGGGACCCTGTACCCGCGTGGGAGACCTGGAAGAGGCTCCTGGCTTCGGATCGGCATAGCATCGGCCGTTGCACTCACTTGGGGAGTGAATCATCGGATGGAAGATCTTCCTCTCTGTCTCTCCTCTCTGTATATCAGCCTTTCTAATAAAAAAAATGATAATAAAAATAAATCTTAAAAAAAGAGAAATGGTTGATGAATTGACAGATTTCTCACATATTTTCAATACTTAATAACTTGGTAGTCTTAATATTTTTAAAACTTGTTGATGCTAAGGGTTATGATAGATTTATTGACAAGAAATTACATATACTTTACCTTTTCACACTGTTTTCCTTCAAAACCACAGTCACTGAGTTTAACAGATGCTACAGGGTGCTGTCCGAATGCCACTTTCAACAGTAAACTCTTCTGCAGCTTCCCAGACTCTTAGAGGCTGCTGTTGTCTCACAGCCGAGATCCACCTAAGAGTACCCATACCTCCTAACTGGTTCAGAGCTCTCTTACATGCAGATTTCGCTTCATTTGGATATATTCCCAGGAGTGGGGTAGTTGTGTCACATGTGGTAAATCAATTTTCAGTTGTCTTAGCACTCTCAATACTGACTTCCACATTGGCAACACCAACCTCCATTCCAAATAATAGTGAAATCAGGTACACTTTACCCAACACTCATACCAGCAAATGTTGTTAGTAGATTTCTAAATATAGGCCAATCTCAACAGAGTTGGGTGGAACCTCAATGTGGGTTTTGTTTGTATTTCCCTAATAGCTAGAGAGCTTAAGCATTTATTCACAAGTTTGTTAGCCATTTGAATTTGTTCTTTTGAAAAATGCCTGCTCATTTCCCTTATCCATTTAACCACAGGACTGTTCCATTTACTGTTTTTGAGTTTCTGAAGCTCTTTTTAAATGCTACACATTAGTTCCTTATCTGTTGTGCAGTGTGCCAAGATTTTCTCCCATCCTGTTGGTTTCTTCTTCACTTTGATGAGCATTTCATTTGCTGCACAGAAGCTTCTAAGTTTGACACAGTCCCATTTGTTCCTTTTGGTTTGGACTGCCTGTGCTTTTCGAGACTTTTCTAAGAAGTCTTTACCCATTCCTATATCAATTTGTTAATGTGGTGTGTCACATGTATTGATTTGCGTTTGTTAAACCATCCCTGCATGGCAGGAATAAATCCCACCTGCTCCAGATGAATCATTTGTCTGATATATTGTTGGATTTTTTGGCTAGCATTGTGTTGGGCCTTTCTGCATCTATGTTCATAACGTGTATTAGTTTGTAGTTTAGCCATTAGGCTACCATATCAGGCACTCAAACACTCAAACCTTTTTTTTTTTATTTCCTATTTGATTTCTTCTGTAACCTATTATTGATTTAGTAGCAAGGTGTTTAATACCCAAGTATTTACATAGCTTCTGGGTATTGTAACTTGTTGATCTTCAGCTCAACACTTGAAGGTCTAAGAAGATGCATGGTATTATTTTGATTCTTTTAAATTTGCTGAGGCTTGCTTATTGGCCTACAATGTGATCTATCCTAGAGAAAGTTTCATGTGCTGATGAAAAAAACAGGTGTATTCTCTGTAAGATGAGGAGTTCTATAGATACCAATTAAGTCCATTTATTCCATTGTCTTGGTGAGCTCTGCTCTGAATTTCTGTCTTGTTGATCTGTCTATTGAAGTTAGTGAGGTGTTAATGTCCCCTGCTATTAATATGTGAGTCTGTTTCTCCTTTTATATCCATTAACATTTTTCTTCATGTAACTAGGTGCTCTGGGATTTGGAGCAAATATACTTATTGTGATTTCTTCTTGCTGAATGGATTCCTTTATGTGGTGTTCTTCTTCATTTCATTTAATGTTTTTCACACTGAAAACATGTTACCTGATACTAAAATAGCTACATCAGCTCATTTTTCCTTTCCATTAGTCTGCAACATTCTTTTCCATCCTCTTATTTTCAGTCTCTACATATCTGTTGGTGAGATGTTCCTCTCGTAGGTAATGGATAGATGGGTTTGCTCTTTGATCCAGTTCACTAATCAATGATGTTTGATCAATGAGTTTAAGTGATTTACATTCAGGGTTAATATTTATAGGTAGTGATTTGGTTCTGTCATCTTAGCAATGTGTTTCTCATTCTCTGATTTATGGTTATTTTGTCATTTTATTGGGATATAATCCGCATTTGCCTCTGGATTTGAAAGGTGCCATTCCATTCCTTAGTACCACATCTTTAATCACCACTTTTAGGGTAGGTCTTCATATACTTTAGGTGGATTTCATATACTCATTCAGTGATTTCTTGGGCTTTTCTTGGGGAGAGATGATCCTGTGGGGGAAATGTATCAGTTTTCATTTCCTTGAAAATTTATTTGAGGATAGAGAAAAAGAAAGAGGAAGATGAAAAGAAAGAGAAAAAGAAAGAGAAAGAGAAAGAGTTGTGAGGCAAAGAGAGAAAGAGAGAGTGTGAAAGAGTGAAACTCCAAGTGCTGCTGCATAGAAACCCATTTCCGCCAGGGTTAGGCCAACTTAAAGCTGGAAGCTGGGAAGTGACTCAAGGTTTCCCAGATGCATGGCAAGAACCCACCAAAGTGTACCATCGCCACTGTCTCCTATCATTTGTATTAGTAGGAAGCTGGATTCCAGAGCCAGAGACTGGCACTAAAACAACAGGACCTGTACATTTCAGCCACAAAGCTGAATATCTGCCTCTCTATGGTAAGCATATCTTGCCTGGGCCAAATTCTTTCAATCTTTTGCTTCTGATCCTTGCCTTGAGCAATCTTAGGGAGCTCTTGAGGTTTTGCCCAGTACATCAGCTCCCAACTTGGTCTCCCAGGTCCAAGTTCATGTTAACATCTAGCTCTACACTAGTTTAACAGCTGTTGGATCCACAGAAACCAAGTTATCTGGAGTTTTGGGTAGAGAGGTAGGTAGCAGCAATAACTTCCTAGACTCTTATCTTAGCATGAAAGACATTCATTTTAGCAGGAATAAAAAGAGAATACTTTGCTCTGATCCCTCTCTTTTTTAACCCCATGTTCAGTTATTTTATTCTATTTTTGCAAAAATTCCACTGTAATATATGCCAATTATGTTTTGTTGTTTTGAACTATCAGTGACCTCACAGAAAAGTGGTCAAATAACCTACTTTTCCAATGGTAATGACTTAATTTGACCACTTTAAACTATCATCATCATATTGAATATTTGGCCTCTAAAGTTTAATTAGTTTATATGAAATAGTTTTAAATTACTAATCATTATGTTTAATTAGAATAATAGTTTGTACACAGCTCATCTTTGAAGTATTCTAATAAAGTTAAATTACTGAAGAACAAAGTTGACATTCTATGGAATTGGTAAATACATTGGAGTTGCCATATTTAGCAAAAAACAAAAATAAGACATCCATTTAAGGTTGAACATTAGATAAGCAGTGAACGTTTTTCAATATTATGTACATTTATCCATGAAATCATTGGTACATAACTGTGCTAAAATTGAGGTGTTTATCTGACTTTCAAATTAGACAAGAAGTTCTGTATTTTATGTTGTAATGCATGTACCTATATATTTAGAATGCAGATGAGAAAGATTGGTAGGTGGTACGTTGAGGAGAAATGATTGGTCATTTATCAAGCATATTTTTGAGAATTCTCAAGGACAAAATCACAGTGGCCAGGCTTTATAGCAGATTCTAAACAAATCTACAGAAAAAAATCTTATAATTATGAAGCTATCTTGCTCTCTAATATACTCTATCATTAATCACAGTTTTTGGTACAAGCTGTTCTTGGTGAACATTTTCTAAATAATTGAATGAATCACATTTTCTGAATCTGAGATCCCAGAAGACACCTCAATTGAAAGTGAAATTGTCTACAAAAATGTGAAGATCAAGCCTTAACACACATTTCTCATGTTTGTTTTGTTTATTGATGTTCCTGCGAGTTTCAAGAATTTGCCTGCGAGTTTCAAAACGTCTGTTCTGTGACATTGGCCTTGCTCATTTCTTTGAATTTTTGCACAGGTCATTATTTTCTGGGGAAACTCTTTGGGATGGGATGTGTCTTGGCTAGGTCATCTTCCATAATTAATATATAGTCTCTGTAGCAGTATTCCGCGTTATTACATTTGACTCTCAGCTGTTTAACATTAACATAGTTTTGTAAGAAAGAGTAGTTGTGGAAGGAACGCCTGGGGGTTTTAGGTTTTAGAAACTCAATCTGTGAAGCAAATAAGTTCAGCATTATTCTTGAATCTCATTTTCTTTTTTAACTCTTGAATTTTGTGGTTTTTGAATTATGCTTTGTTGTTGTGTCATAGGCCAGCCTGGAGGAAGAGTAGAAAATGTCAATGACTGTTTTAGAATCTCTATCCTTCATTAAAAAGGATACATAAGAGGGTTATTCATTTATTGAAAGCTAATGTTAAACTCTACAAATTTCTGTAGGTTACAATAAACATGACCTGTAAATACTCCCTCAATTATCAAGATACAGAACACTTTCCCCACCCCAAAATAAATCCCTTTGTTATCGCTTTGTATTGAGTCTTTCCCCACAAGTCCACCCCTGGCAACTTCGGACCTGATTTATGTCATTATGGATTCATTTGCATTTTATAGGGTTTAATATAGATGGTCTCAAAGAATAAGCCCTCTTTGGGCCTGGTGTGATAGCACAGTGGCTAAAGTCCTTGCCTTCAATGGGCTGGGATTCCATATTGGTGCCAGTTCTAATCCTGGCAGGCCCGCTTCCCATCCAGCTCCCAGCTTGTGGCCTGGGAGGACAGTCCAAAGCCTTGAGAGCCTGCTCCTGTGTGAGAGATCTGGAATAAGCTCATGATTTCAGATTGGTTCAGGTCCAGCTATTGTGGCCTCTTGGGGAGTTAGCGATCGGACTAAACCATCGGAATGAAGATCTTCCTCTCTGTTTCCTCCTCTCTGTGTGTCTGCCTTCCCTAATAAAAATAAATAAATATTTAAAAAAATAATAAGCCCTGTTTATCTGGCTTTTTCATATAATAAAATTATCTTGAAATCATCAAAGATGTTGTATGTGTTAATTGCTCATCCCTTTTTATTAAAGATAAGTTTTCTATTATGTAGATTTCAAGATTTTATCTTCTTTACTGACAGATGTTTGGGTTGCATACAGTTTGGTGAATCACAAACAAAGCCTCTGTAAACACTTCTGTAGAAATATACATAGCATATGCTTCTGTTTCTCTTGCAAAAAAGTAATCTAGGAATTGGAACGGTTGAGTCACATGCAAGTATATGTTTAACTATTTAAGAAACAAGCTCAACATTTTCCAAAGTGATGTGTCATTATATATTCCTAGCAGAAACTGTTCCACATCCTCAGTGATGATATCACATTTTGTTTTTAACAGGCATTTCCCTAGTGATTCATGATATTAATCATTTTTCATGAACTTTTTTACCATCTTCTTTGATGAAGTATTGATTCAGGTGTTTTGCATACATTCCCTCTACCCCACATTGGAAAATTTTTTAAAGATTTATTTTTTTTATTGGAAAGTCAGATATACAGAGAGGAGGAGAGACAGAGAGCAAGATTTTCTGTCCGTTGATTCACTTCCCAACTGGCTGCTATGGCCAGAGCTGAGCCGATTCGAAGCCAAGAGCAAGGAGCTTCTTCTGGGTCTCCCACGCAGGTGCAGGGTCCCAAGGTTTTGGTCTGTTCTCAATTGCTTTCCCAGGCCACTGGCAGGGAGCTGGATGGGAAAAGGAACACCAGGACACAAACTGACGCCCATGTGGAATCCTGGCATCTGCAAGGCAAGGACTTTAGCTGCTAGGCTACCGTGCTTAAAGTACATGATTTCTAAATATTTCCTTTCATTCTGGCTCGTCTTCTCTTAGTTTCCATGAAGTCAAATTTATCAATATTTTTCTTTTACGGATCATGTTTTGATAGTTTATGTGTACAATCCATTTTGAGTTAATTTTTGTGTATGGTTCAAGATATAAATTAATGTTCGTTTTAACATGATATTCAATCATTTCAGGACCATTTATTTAAAAAGGCTATTTCCCTTTGCATTCAATTGCCTATTTAGTCTTTGTTGAATACCAATTGTACAATATGTTAGGATCTACTTATTCTTCTGAATTCTCTGTTCCTGTCCAGTGATGTATTTGTCACTTTGATGCCAACAACACATTGTTTGCATAATAATGCTTGAAATCAGGTAGTGGCTGTCCTCCAACTTTGCTCTTCCTTTTCAGGTTGTTTTGGCTCTGAGGGTTCTTTATAATTCTATATGAATTTTGAATCCATTTGTTAATTTGAACAAAAAATTGCTGAGATTTCGATTAGGATTGCACTGATTTAACAGGTCAATTTAAAATGTGAATATTAACTGTTGATGATTACTATTATAATTATACCTGCATAGTGGGTGTTCAAGGATTTGATTAAAAATCTGAGAATCACTGCCTTTGCTGACTGGTTTCTCTCAAATGCATATGTGTGTGTGTATGTTAACAAAGTAATACAAACACATATTGTCTTATCCTTATCTAGTTAAAATAGTGCACCATGGTGCACACACACACAGAAAGACATCTGCTACATCTGGCACAGCTCAAGCCAGGTTGAAGAGGGTTGATGACACACAATCAGACAGAAAAGACAGACACAAGTAGAAGCTTCTCTCTTTTTTTAATATTTATTATTTATTTTTATTGCAAAGTCAGATATACAGCGAGGAGGAGAAAAGGACAGGAAGATCCTCCGTTTGATGATTCATTCCCCAAGTGACCGCAACAGCCTGTGCTGTGCCGATCTGGAGCCAGGAGCCAGGAACCTCCTCTAGGTCTCCCACACGGGTGCAGGGACCCAAGGCTTTGGGCCGTCCTCTTCTGCTTTCCCAGGCCACAGGCAGGGAGCTGGATGGGAAGTGGAGCTGCTGGGACTAGAACGGGCACCCATATGGCATCCCTGTGCGTTCAAGGCAAGGACTTTAATTGCTAGGCCACAACGCTGGGCCCCAAGTAGAAGTTTCTTAAAGCAGGATTCAGAGGCAGCAACCCTTCCTAGTGAGAGAGAGAAATCTCTCCTGAAAAGAAGAAAAAACCTTCTCCCATAGGAGACAGAAACAACTCAATTTCTGTCCTGGCAACATTAAGCCATTTGAAAAATCATGTTTCATGTTGATTTGACCCACCTGAGGGTTATTTTGCTTTTTGTTTGCTATCTAATCACTATCCCATCCAGGAGGTTCTCAGCTGGATCATTGCAAACCCAGAAGGAGGAGGAGAGCAGGATTTGTGGCCAAGTACATGAGTCCCTTGAACTTGTACACGTAGGAATTTATGCCATCTAGGGCTCAGGCCTTGACAACCATGAAACTTATTATTGCAGTATCACCCCTATAGTTTTCATTTACAGACTCTTGGCATCACTCTGTTTCTGTGCTCTGACTGCTAAGATGACCATCTTACCTCTCTACATAGGCATATTTAAATTTTCTGTTTTTAGTTAATCTGGGGAATGATTGACACTTGTTGACACACAGAAAAATAGTAATTCCCAAAGGGAGACAATACAGGAAATAGACATAGTATAAATAGGGGAATACTGAAAAAAATTGATGTGTCCAAATATGGATATAAGTTGGAATTTAAGGAGGTATTACATATTTGAAATGATCCCAAAATACATGTAGGGTTTGCTACATGCATGTTTTCATGTGGTAAGAATGAGGGTCACAATTTGTGACATATCATGGTTTAACTATTGATTTCAATTCCTGGATGTCAAATACAAATAAACACAATGGTCTGACAGACACTTGAAAGTTCAGGCTAGGGCGGGGGCACACCCTGCTAGCTGCTTCTCTCAGGACTGGGAACTTAGCTTGGGAAAGCTCATACCATGGCACCATTTGCACTGATTTCTTACACCTGGCCAGGCAGTCTGAGTTCTGTCCTCTTGCATCTGGGGAGCTCAGCTTCCTTAGTCCAGGCAGTCTCTCTCCAGCTTTAATTAAATTTCACTTCCCCCATAGGCTGCTTCCCTCATAACCGAGCAGCTAACCTGACAATTTTGGAAATCATTCACTGTGTGGTTAATGTATCATCTACTGAGTATAATTTCCTGTGAGTTTTTTTTCCTTGGTATTCCCCTTCCTTCCTTTAAACAGTGAAAATCAAAAGAACAACATTCTGTTTTTACTGTGGTAATCTAATTTGAACTTCCCCTTGTTTTAAACCATATGAAATAGAAAGAATTTTTTAAAAGTATCAGAGCACTGATAGTGAAATGAAAGTGAAAGAATAGGCTACATCAGGTTGTAAGAAATAGGAAGACAAGTGCACAACAGAAGGCAATAGTATGGTCTGGTGTTATCCTATATTTAAGTTTTAAAGACAGACAATTGTCTCACCAAATTATTTCCACTGGCTTCCATGATAATGAAGTTTTGCTAGTGAATGCTTCAGCTAATGAATGCCTAGATTTCCCCATATCCCTATATATCTAGGTATGGCCTTTGAGTTTATGTCTTGTTATTACAAAAATGTTGTGTGTGATTTTAGGATCAAACCTCAAAGTGAAGGGTCAATTCTTTCCCCTGTGTCTACCTGTGCCTGTATTGTAGCATTGGCATAGTGCCATCTTTACGTAATGGAAATGGCATCACTCAGAGATAGTGCAACAAGATACAAAAAGAGCCTGAGACTCAACCACTTGGAATCACAATCTTACTCGTGGAACACTTCTTCTTAGACTATTACATGAAGTGAAGTTTGAGCCACCATTAATTTGGGTCTGGTATAGCTGCTGCTAAACTAATACAAGGATAATTTCTCTGGTTGGTGCAGTAAAAGAACAACTCTTTTTAAGACACTCTGTCTTTTAAAGCTGAAAAATGATAGTATAAAATAATTTTTTTTCTGAGAGACTCGTGAAAATTATAACAAATATTAATTTAGTACATATTCTAACAGTCAAATGATGAAGAATATTCTTCCCATTTTGAAAAGGGGATATGCCTCCATGGTAGAGTGGACAAAGTTGATAAAATGTGGACTATCAATTATTTTAGTTATAAAGATCTGGTTTAGAATAGTGCCTGTACCATTTAGCGATGGTTTCACTTCCTTTGACTTCCTTTGACTTTTCTTTCCTAGCCTATAAAATACCTTCCTACTCATCTTATTGTTTAAAGTAGACAATGTCTTCAGGGCCAAGTCCCAGATACAACTTTAATGATACCTTTGCCACTTTCACCTGAGTCCAGGTACATAGACCATCAACCCTGCTGTAAAGCATCGTTCATTATTTGATCAAGTTTTTATGCGTGGTAAAGTTGTTTAATGGACAACACATGGCTTGGCAGTTGCAAATTTGTGTAGGCTCTAGCTATCTAAATCCTAAATATATTCACATGAAGATTATCTTGGTCCCAACAATGTGACAAGGGCATAGGTATTTACTTTCTGTTTTATGCATTAATTTCTGCATCAGTGGTTCCACATCCTGTTAGAGGAGTGAGGCAAGGAATATAAATAAGGCCAGCTAGAAAAAGTCTATGCATATACACCGTAGCAGTGAAGGAAGCTTTGCTACTCAGTTCCTGAGGGTTATGAGCTAGAAGCAGTTTTTATAAATTATCAAGGAAGCTGCCAGTCTGCACATTAAGAGGAATCACTTTATCTTTAAGAACTAGTTCATTTTTCAAGAGCAGCATTCCAGTTTACTAAGCATATCTGTCGCAGGGCAGGCATTGGTGTTGTGGTTAAGATGTCAGCATCTGGGCTCAGGGCTCAGCTGCTGCCTTTGATCCAACTTTCTACAAGTGCACTCCCTGGGAGGAATCACATGTTAACTCCAATAGTCATGTCGCTATTACCCCAGTGAGTGACCTGGATCGAGTTCCTGGCTCCTCTTGTCCGGTCCCAGCCATTGCATTGCAACCATTTGGAGAAGGAGCAGTAGATGAAAGCTCTCATGGTTTGTAAATGTCTCTCTTTCTCTCTCTCAAATAAATAAGAAAATGAACAAATGAATGCATGAGCAAAATAAACCTATGGCCACCACCTTGCTGCACCCGCTCATTATAATCCTTACACCCTGAGTTAACAGGAACTAACTCTTTGCTGTGGCACATGCCTCCTGAGAAATACATTGATTAGAGTTGGACTTCCCGGCACTTTCACTTTCCCATGTAGATATATGTAATCGGGGTTGGTATTTGTTCAAAATCAGACACTAGGAATTCACTTTTAGTTGTATCACAATCAACTAAATACAAGAAATATCTTTAGATTCTATTTAGTTTGAAAGATACCTGGTACTAATTCTGTGGAGGTGTTTTTCCTCTCATTCAAAGGAAGAATATGATGTACTAAATATTTTTATGTTTATTTGGTGTGAAATCAAATATCAAATGCCTGAGTGTTTTTCAAAAAACCCGAATCAGCAATTCAATTATTTTCCTTTATTGGAACAACCAGGAGTGTACTTGTTAAGATGGATCTGCTCTGTCATAGCCTGCTCTGCTGGCAATGTCTAAATGAATTAAATGAGTCACAAGTCAAAGAAATCTCACAGGCAGCTCTAATCTCCTGTCAGAAAGAATAGCTCAGTGAGTCAAACATCTGTCATTTTATTTTCTTGGCTCATCTTAGACGCTGTGCTCCTAGCTGCATATTTGTGGGCTTTCATTCTACTCTTAAAATTGCACTCCTGATGCATTTTCGCAACTGTGAACTTGAGTGTCCAAGTTTCTAATTTAGTGATTTGCTTGTTCATAAAGGTCACTCACATAAAAATACCATCAACTTGTGAAACACAATTTGTTTACTACTCAATTCTAACAGAATCCAGGCATAGGTATAATTTGTTCTGGGTAAGTCCAGCAAGTTCCCAGGTTTCCACTGGGAGCATTTTCATTTTTAGTGTGCATAGTGTAAAACTGCATATGTACAACATGAAGCTCTGGAGACAGAATGTTGTTCCCTTGTGCTTTATGTAAAAATTCTCTAACATGCCCTGAGACTGCAAAATTTATGTAAGCTAGTTATCTGGAAGTGAGGTCAGTTTTTTCTCTCCTCAGGAGTACCTCTGAGCTGTTCCACTTTGTTCGTGTTTTAACGATTGACTAACAAATTAAGCTTCATTGCGCAGCTCTGCTCCAAAAAACGATTCTCTTCTGCTAAGATGAGATTTTTCCAAAGGGGAAAGATGTAGTCGGGTTTTTTCATATTTATTTTATTTGAAGATTGTATTGTTGAAAAATAGTACTGGCATAAGAGTTTATGATGACCCAACATGCTGCAATGGAAAGCTGAAACAATCAGTCCAGTTTCAAAGTCATCTTTCCTCTTACAGCTAAACAAGCTGAGCATCCTGGACTGTAAAGTGTCTAATTAATAAAACATAAAATACAACTCTATAGTGAGCAATAGGCATGTGCAAATATCAAGTTTCAGACCTTTAGAGCACCGGTCAGTAAGTGGGGTCACTTGCTGACTTCTCATATGAATCATGAAGGTACCTGACACAGGTCTCCAGTTTCCCGTAGGGTTTTTTCTCTTCATATGAATACTCCACACTCAAGGGGTGTTTTAAAGGTTGATATCTGCTAATAAACACCAGCTGTAGCTTTCTATATTTTTTGCAAACACGTTTTCTTCTCCCTTTATGTAGGGCTATCCAGTATTCCAATCTTGGAATTGTACATTAAAAAAAAATCAGCCTTCAATCTGCTTGTATTTACTTTTTTTTGACCACAGAAACATATAGATGATCCATGGCAACTAATCACTTTGAAAAATCAGGAAGTTGCAACTCTTAATGCTTTTTTGTTTTTATTCAGTGCATGCTCCTGCTGCTATTTCTTATAGACAATATTTTGTTTTCATACAACATTTTGTTTTCATACAGCTACACATAAAGGCTTGCAAAGCACACTTGATGTTTTTCACATTATAATGCTATGTAAAGATGATATCATATTCTCATATCAACCTAAGAGAATTTATGTCTGTGATACCATAATAATCTTACCCAAAGATTAAGAGAAACTTTTCCTATAGATCTTCAAATCTTGTGTGTGTGCGTGTGTGTGTGTGTGTGTGTGTGTGTGTGTGTGTATTTAAATACTTATTTGAAAGGTGCAGTGACTTTGTGGGTGTGTATGTGCATGATATATGAAAAGACTTTAATCTTCTGGTTAAAAGGACATAAAACCTGGGGCCAGGCTAAGCTGAAGTCAGTGGATAGGAACTCCACCCAGATTTCCCACATAGATGGTAGAGACCCAAGCTCTTGGACCATCTTCCACTGCTTTCCTAGATGCATTAACAGGGATCTGAATCAGAAATGTGGCAGCTAGCTGGGATTTAGAACTGATTCTCTGATGTCAGAAATGTGGAATATCTTAAGTCCCTGGACCACAGTGCTGGTGGTCCACCTTTGTGGGAATTCTGGGTATTGATATCTTAATAAATGACTTGTAATCCATACTATGTAGAACTGAAAAAGAGTGAGGCAGACTTCTGATTACTTATCATCAACCAATCTCCAAGACAATTACTGGATAAAAAGGACCTGCAAAGTGTAATGAATGTTATGATATCATCTATATTTTAATGTATTTTGTTTATCTGATGGAAGTTTGGACACATGCATTGAAAGAAAGCTGATAGCAGTGATCTCCTCTACAATGGGAATGAGTGATTAATGAGGAATTTTCCCAACAAGTAGCCTAATGGTGATAATATAAAATAAACGGAATTTAATGTCTGTGAAAAAAGCCAATGCAATATAGTTTTGTGACTTTAGAGGCTAAAATTATTACAGCAAACGACTAGCTTAAATGGCCTCCATAAGAATAAGTTGACTGGGAGATTTTGCTCAATGTTTGTATAAATACCCACTCAGATCTCTTCCTTCTGTATACGGATGCAAGTGTAGATCAGTCTTGGCAAGCAGTGAGAGTCAGCATCAGCATATCAACAATGTCGAGGCGCACTTAGAAGAAAGAAATCAATGGACTTGGATTGACACACATCAAGGAAAAAGCAAAAGTAAGCACGTGAGAAAACCACTGAAATTCTAAAAACAGAGTGGACAAATTCCAATAGCTACACAGAGCACTAGGGCAATCAAGAAGGCAATCGATGATGTAATTAAAACATCAGGCCTATCAGTTGAATTTGAAAACCAGCATCAACCTGACACTAAGATTCTCAAGGTATGCTTCAAAGAAAAGTGACGCATGATTAAGGGAGAGGAAGGCAGAAGGACAAAGAAGTACGGGGGAGGGGTTAGTGTGTGGGGGGGAAACAGAGTCACACTGGAGGGGCATAGCAGCCCTGGCCAGGACAGAGGGACACTGCAGACATCTACAACCAAAGCAGCTATCTTCTTATTTTAGCAATTGGAAATTCCAGCTCATCTACCTGCTGCATGCCTCCCAGTGAAGAGGAAACATCAGTTACACCAGCTCTGAAATCTACTCTGCCTTTATTGGGATGGTGCATGCCAGCTACCTGGTCCTCAACTGAGTTTCTTATTGCCATATATGGTTGGACAAAACATTAGCCAATATTTTAGAAAATGTAAGTAAATTTCAAGGAATAACAGCATGAACCAGCTTGATCAAGGAAACAGCAGAGACTAGCGTACTGGGAACTGAAAGTATGTGGCAGGTCTGCATCTCCACTCCAGGATAAAAGATGGACTCCCAGTGAAACTGTTAATACATCTCTATAATAGGATGCCGGACTTTATTCTACTGCCTATACCTGCAATATCATGCTATGCTTAAACAGCAGAATGATGGACTTGTGACAATTACTGAAGGACTATACACTCGTAATAATATAGGGGAAAACCGAGAATGTGTGGAGGGGTGAGTGGCAGGAAAAATTCCCAAGCCTACAGAACCATTTCATGAAAAATTAGAAAAAAAAAGGAGAGAAACAGCATAGAAAAGCAAAGAACACACGATTAAATAAAGACTCTTTAGTGATATTCTCAAGGTATTGAACGAAGTCAATCCATGCTAGTACAAAGGACAATTGAACAACACAAAAGACTCTTGTAAATCAGGCATGTAATTGTCCTTAAGATACACTCCAGTAAAATTAGAGGTAAGCTGATTAGGAAGAAATCCATAAGTGATCCAGAAAACAGAAGCCTCAGCCTTGGAGGGCACTGAATGCAGTGCCTTGAATAGCTCAGAAACAGACCCAAAGAGCAGTCAGTTCCCAGTAGAGTCCAAGTGTAGACAATTAAATACCTATGGAAGAAATCTTCAGGAAAATGATGGGGTATTCAAGAGAATATATACCATGATGAAGAGTATGAGAAAAGAGGATGCTATGATGACTCAATATTGTGTTGTCATAATGGAATATTTGCTAGTTCTAACCTCCAATGGGATGTTCTTAGCAGGTGGGACCTTTGTGGGGGTGGTAACTTGTGAAGCCCAAAACATTGCTCTTTCCTCCATGGACACAGTGAGAAGACAGAAGCTTTCTGTGAACGGAAAATCTGACAGCAGATCCCGCAACTGCTAGCACCCTGAAGTTCTGCTTCTCATTATGAGGAATACATTTCTTTTGTGTGAATGCCTAAGACATCCACATTATGTTACTTTGTTATGGCAACTCATAAAAACTAAGGTAAAAACACAAAGAAGAAAGATTGGGGCCATATCTGAGGGCTATCCCTGGGCATGATGGGTCACCTCCTGAATGCCCATATTCCATCCTAACACCTGGGATTGAATCTGACTCTATTTCTGACACAGCTTCCTGCTCCTGCAGCTGGGAAGCAGCAAATGATAATGCAAGTCCTGCCACCAAATGGATACCTGGCGAAATTCCTGGCCCCTGACTTGGCCTGTGCCAACCCTAATTATTATGGAAATTTTGGGACAGAACCAGCAGATTGTGTAAATAAAACTTATAAGAAAGGAAGCCATGTTCTGCATGTTAAAAAGAAAAAAAATGAAGAAAGATAAAAGCAATTAAGGCAGGATGAGATAAATAAATGTCAACAAAACTTGTCCAACTTAAAGCGATTTATGTAACATAAGAAAAGGCCTGGTGCTGCAATGCAGTGAGTTGAACTGTAGCCTACGATGCCTGTATCAGATACAGGTGTTAGTTCATGTACTAACTACTATACTTTTGATCTAGTTTCTGCTGATATGTCTAGGAAAGCAACAGAGGACAGCCCAAGTGCTTGGATCCCTGCACACACATGTGAAATATCAATAAAATGCATAACTGGCTTGACCTAGCCCTGACTGCAGCAGCCATCTGGGAAGTGAACCAGAAGATGGACAAATGCTCTCTCTCTCTCAGTCTCTCTCTCTCTCTCTTTCTCTCTGTGTGTGTGTGTGTGTGTGTGTCTTTCTAACTCTGACTTTCAAATAAATTCATCTTTACAAATACTTTTTCCTATTTTTAGGATTACTATTATAGTTTATTTAGGAGTCCTATTATTAAAAGGAAAACATTCTAAAACTATGCTTCACTTAATTCTATAAATTTGTGCAGGCATAAAAATGTACATGTCTTACATATTTTCACTGCTTAGAGTCAATTTATTGATGAAACACAGAATAATTGGTTGAGTTTGAAGGAAAAAATATAAATATAACTGTTTTAAATTTGTCTTAAGGAGGCAAAAGTAAAACTTTAAATTACAGCTAACTAAAATTTATAGATAGAAGTGAGGGAGATGGGGTAAAAGAAAACAGAGGTGTGAGTGTTAATATTATTAAGTGTAGCATTCAGAAATATCATATGAGCAGAGCAGCTCAGGAAATCTCAATACTTTCTGCTGTGAGCCTAAAGCTACTCTAGAAAATAAAACGTATTTTTAAAATACTGTCAAAGTTAATTAAAGATACGTTATAGATTAACATTTTTTTGGAAAAGAAAGGCAAAAGAATAACAATTTAGAGAACTACAAATTGAACTAAGTGAGATAAGAAATAGAAGTTTAATCATATTATTTAGCATTATGGTTAATGGCCAGAAAATTGAAAAGAAATGGCTCAGAGAGGAGAAGGAGTTGGCGTTTAGCTGAAGGCTATGCATGTTTTTGTCCAATGTTAGAGTACGTGGGATCATTGTCTGGTTCAGGCTTCAGATTCTGGCTTTCTGCTAGTGCACATAATGGGAAGCAGTAGTTATGACTCAGGTAATCGGGTTCCTGCTACCCATACGAGAGACTTAGCTTGAGTTCCTGACTCTCAGTTTTGGCCTCACCTGTTGCAAACATTGGGGAATGAGCTCTCCAATGGGAGCTCTCTCTGCTTCTCTCATTAAAAAAGGGTGGGAACAACAGGATAATGTCTACAAGTAGCGGTAAAAGATGGAAGGTTGTTGCTTTCCTTTTACTGTTTTTACTATTGTGTTCACATAACTTGGTCATTTATTCAAAAATTCTTCATGAGATAAAATTATAAAGAGATGAAAATGGGGAAAATAGATTATGAAATATGAAAGGCTAATGCAGATATAATAGGATTTCAATAAGCAGACAAAAGATAAAGTTAAGGAAAGGCTACTACTTGATGGTTGTAAATTAGTCCTTATGATTTTCAAAACACTACAACAGGCTAGGAAACTACGGCCCGGCTGAGGTTTGAAAACTTACGTTCCCATCCCACCCTGATTCCCCATCATACATTGAAAGTCCAACTCTGAATGTGATCATATTTGGAGATAAAACGTTAGGGAGATGATTTGAGTTCAGATTGGGTAGTTAGGGTGATGAACACACCATGAGATTAAACCTTTATAGAATGAGGCAGAGACAAGGCGTTGCATCAACTCATGGAAGAAGGCCAAAGGGTAAGCAGGCAGAGACCTCACTAAGATCTTCATTCTGCAGGTATCATTTCAAACCTTATTCCCCAGAGCTGTGAAAAGTAGGTTTGTTGTCTAAGTCGTTGACCTTTGATAATCTGTTAGAGGAGCCCCAACTGAGTTAAATTTGGTCTTCTGGATGAATTTTTTGCATTAAAGTTTATTGGTGTACAGCCATGAGCATTCATTTATGTGTTGTCATGGCTGCTTTCACATTTTAAGAATGTGGGTGATTGTAACACAGAATATTGGATCGTCCACAAATAGTATTTTCTATCTGTCCCATTGCATGAAGTGTTTGCCAATGATCCCTACATTAGATTAATGTAAATTAAATTTTAAAGTCCATATTTTTACCAAAAAAGAGAAACCAAACAAAATGGCACAAAAATATTATTTTGAAGGAAATATACACTAGATTGCAAGAATAATCTCTAACATAATAATAGTAGTAATAGTAATAATAATAATAATTGTAATATTCATAAAATACATGTGAGTAAAATTTTCTCTGATTAAGGTGGAAAAGATACCTTATGATGCTGTTTACAAGAAGCTAACCCAGTACAATATACTGTAAACGTATGGAAAGTATTGAAATGGACAGGAATGCATCAGCAATGTGATCTCAAAAACAATTTAACAAAATTAATGATGTTTAAAAACATATGATTTTAGAAATCTCAGGTATTTTAAAAGATTTTCCTTGAACAAACTGCTGGATTTCTGAAGAAATAAAAAAAGATATATATATATATATCTTTTATATCTATCTATATATAGATTAGTAGGAAATAAATGACTCTGAGAGTAGCAGGCACCATTATCTATAAGATGAATTTTAAGTAGTTTCCTAAAGAAAAAGTATACCTTTGCGTAACTTTATTGTATAACAAAGAGGGAATTTTTAAAATTTTCTTCATTGTCAATTTAAAGGCAGATTTACAGGGAAGGAGAGACAGAACATGATCTTGCATCCTCTGGTTCATTTCCCAAATGGTTGCAATGGCCAGCACTGAGATGATCCAAATCCAGGAACCAGGAGTCTCCTCCAGTTCTCCCATGTAGGCATATGGGTCCAAGAACTTGAACTATCCTCTGCTGCCTTCCCAGGTCATAAGCAGGGTGCTGAATCAGAAATGGAGCAGCTGGGACACAAATCGGCACCCATATGGGATGCCAACACTGCAGGTGGAGGATTAGCTTTTAGGCCACCCATACCAGTTGTAGATAACAATGAGTTTTTTCAAACACTGATTAAAGCTCCAAGTTAAAATAAGAACAGCCAAAAAGGAGGGGGTCAGAAAAAATTCTAAAAGATATAAATTGAGATCAGTGAAATGTTAAAATTTTTTTTCAGTTGATTTCATTAATAAAACCCGAACTTCTGTTCTTAAAACATCATTTCAAAAACGTTTAAGTAGACAAAGCTGATAAATTGAAAAGGAAGATATAACTATAGAACAAAGATACTTACTAAAAATATGATATTGCTATATTTTGATAATTAAGCCAATAATTTGATAAAATAGATGACATTAAAGTTTACATGGTTATGATGCCTTATGTAGAGAATCTAGCCTACCTGCTGAGTAGTAAAAGTGCCATTTATTTCCTTTTCTTTCTCCTTAGCCAGCCACAGCCGCACAGCCAAAGTGTGTGTGCACATGTTCAGGCCATGTCCCTGCCTCAGGTGTGGGTGCCCAAGGGTAAAGACTCCTCATGAGTGTATCACTGCAACCCCTGCGTGCATGGTGACAGGCGTCCTCGCAGACCTGGAGAGCAGGGAGAGCTGTGAACATGAGCTGGTGTGCAGTGGGAGAGAAAGAGCAGCTTCCTAAGCTGCTCCTAACCTGACCAAGGTCAAATATCAGGCACACTGGAAAGAACCCACATCA